ATTTTTTTTGTTTTGTTACCAAATCAAGCGGATAAGTTAGTTAACGTTACATAAAATGATGACCTTTGTTCGTTCGTTTTCTACTGCCACGTTTTTTTTTTTTTTAATACTTTATACGTAGATGCTTCCGTAAATAAATTTTTTTTTAATCTTGCCCTTTATACCACTCGCTTGACACGTGTTTTTTTTTCTTTTTAAATTTATCAAAAATTAATATTATTATTATTAGTATTATTATTACATTTAATTACGGAACTTTAACGTTTGTTTATTACAAATAACTTACCCGTAATTAATATCAATTACTTGTAGTAATAATAATAAGAATAATTACTCATCAGTTTCACATTTTAAGTTTTTTATTTTTTTTTGAATTTCCACACGGTTATGACGTTTATAAATAATTACGTCACGTTTTTAAAAATTTGTCTTCTGTCTTACGTTTTTTATTTTTTATTTTTTTCGGATACGAATCTTTTTAAATTTAGCAATAACGCATTTAAAATAATAATAATAATAATAGTAAAACTCAGACAAGTAGATTTGAAATTTTATCGTGTATGTATTGAAGTGAAAATAATAAAAATAATGGTACCCATTTTTTTTTTTTTTAAATTAAAACGAATTCTATAAATTTTTTCGTTCGATTATCATCATCATCATCATCATTATTATTATTATTAATAAAATTCGAATAAAATGTTTGGAAGTCGAAAAAAAGTCCTTGATACGATTTTTAAATTCATTTCCTCTTTTTTTTTTTTTTTTTGAATATTCGATTGACCCGAATTTAAGGGAAAAATATAAAAAAACTATATTACGTAATAATATACATATGTATAAATAGATTTTTTAACGATAAAAAAAAAGAAAAAAAATTAAATAAATAAATAAAATTACGAGTAATAATTAAATTTTTTTAAATAAAAATATGGAAAAAAAAATTTTTTTGGCGTCGGTGAAAGTTTTTTTTTTTTTTTTAACATTGAGTTCTTGTTGTTGTTGCTTGTTTGTTAATTTGTTTGTTTTATTAAATTTCATAAAATAAAAAAAAAATTTTTTTAAACGAATTTTTCATATTTACAGTCAAAAATTAATTGATTATTAATCGAATTTTTTTTTATTACTAATTTGCTACCGTTAAATGAAATACATAAGTCACAGAGTAATAAACAAGGACAAAAAATATTTTCACTTATTTTTACCACTGGTAATTTTTTTTTCTTTTTTTTTCGTACGTAAATACCCGCAAAAACATTTAAATATTTTCACTCAACAAACACACAAAATGATTTTAAATCTCTATAATTATTTTTATTATCATTATTATTATTACCGTCCAATTTTTTTTTTTTTTTTCATTTTCACCATCCGCAAAATTCCTTTTTTTTTTGCTACCATAAAATACATGGAGAAATGCAAAGTTATAAAATTCTAAACATTCCGTTAATATTATTATTATTATTACTATTTGATAAAATAAAATTTTTAATTATTACTCTGTGAAAATTTCGTATTATTATTATTGTTAATAATATACATAAAATCAAAAATGTAATTTAATATTAAATAATAATAATAATAATTTATTATAGTTACAAACACCACCACCACCATCGCCATTTTTACACTTAATTACTTTTTTATCAACAGTAATAATTAAACGAAAAAACCGGTTTCGGGCATTTTATCACTCCCGTTATCAATTTGTGTATTTTTTTAATTTATTACCACAGTAATAATTTATTATAATTATAAATTGACAAATGATTTTTTAAATTCCCCATTGTTTCCTTCATTTAAAAAAAAAACAGGAGTAATAAATTTTAAAAACAAACATAATTTATTAATAAATTATTACGTAATAATTTCTTTTTTTTTAAATGACATCATTTGAACTTTTGACATTTTTTTTCATTTTTGTATTTGTCATCGTAATTTTTTTTTTTTCTCTTTCGAAGGTTTTTGTTTTTTTTTTTTTCTTCCTTACGATTTCTTACGGTAATAAATAATATTAATGATAATAACAATAATAATAAATAAATAAATTTATGTATGAGTGTGAGTTTTTAAATAAATACATAATCGAAAACGTTTTTTTTTTTGGTAAGAAAACGTTATTAACAAAAATTAAGAAGAAGAAGAAAAAGCTAAAAAAAAAAATTAAGGACATTAAAAAAGTAATAATAATAATAATAATAATAATATTAATGATAATAAATTTTAGGCAACATCCGTGTCATCACCTACTTTTATCTGTAAATAGATAAAAAAAAAAAATTATGTAGATAATTAAAAAATAATTTTTATTAACAAACGTATAAAAAACTATACATATATATATTTTTTTTGCAATAAAAACGTAACTTGATATTATTATTATTATTATTATTATTATTATTATTATTATTATTATTATATAATAATAATAATTACATAAAATTTTATTTTTTTTACTTATTTATTTATGCAATTCAACCGTGTAAGTATCGATATGTTTATTATTAAATGCGAATAATGTGTCTGCCGTTTGTTTGTTCGTTCGTTTGTTTGTTTGTTACCCGTCTCGTTTGAATTTTTGAATTTTTTTTTAAAATGATTTTTGCGCGGGAAAAAAAAAATTTGAAACGTAATCAAAAAATTTTCAACGGGTAGAAAATTGGATTAATTTTACGGTTTTGTAATTTTTATGATTTTTACCTTTCCCTCCCTCATCCTCACCCTTACCCCCCAACTCCCTCCGTTTTTACAAAAAAAAAAAAAATTACGTAAACTATATATACATATACGTAAAAAAAAACCGTTATTTTAGTATTAAAAATAATAATAATAATTTTTTTTTACGAAACAAAAAATTTTGGAGCGAAAAAAACGATTTTAAACTTATCGATAAGACAAAAAAAAAAAAATTGTGTGCTTTTTTTTTATCCTTTTTCCCCACACTTAAAAAAAAATTTCTCAAAATTATTCGAGTAATAATAATAATAATGATTTACGAAATTCATGAGTGTAATTATTCGGTTATGAAAAAAAAAATTATTTAATAATAATTTATTTTATTTTGATTTGTTTTCATAACTATTTTTTTAGTTAAATAAATTATGAAAACCGCGTGATGACGATGACGAAGTAAAACGAAACAAATAAATAAATAAATAAATTACTTTTCTTTTTTTTTCTTTTTCGGGAGGGGGGAGAACCATTCATAAAATTTTTTTTTTTTTATGAAAAAAGTTTTTAGTTTTTAATCTTTAATTTATATTATTCCATTAATACGATGCATCATCATTTTCAATTTACATCAAAATTTATTTTGAAACGAATTAAGAAGAAAAGAGTAATAAAAATTATTCAATGGTAAAGTAATAAAAATTTTCCCTTCTCTCCCTCCCCATTTCCTCCACTTTGAGAAAATCCGTCTTTATTTAATTTTTTTTCAATAAATTTTTTTTTTTTTGTCGTATATAAAATACATCCAGATTAACTTGACCTCTCATCTTGTTTTACCTTGACAGAAGTTAACATTTGACATAATAACTTGAAAGTGCATCATCGTGTTGTTGTTGTTTATTTTTTAAACATAATTATGTTTCTCATAATAAAAAAAAATACCTGTGTGCGTGCGTGCGTGCGTGCGTGTGTTTATACGCACTCACACGGTAGGTAATAAATTAATTTCCTTGAAAGGTAAAAAAAAAAAAAAAAACTTACGGTAATTTTAAGTTTAAACAAAAATTTCAATTACCATATTTAACTTATTTGAAATTTTGTTTGAACGTTTATTTTTTTAACACTTAAAAATAAATAATCATTTTTTTATCATAAAAATTTTTTACCGTTTCCGTCATTCATAACTTTTTAAAATTTTATTAATTATTTACCTTTTTTACGCTTTTATCACTCATTATTATTATTATTATTAAATCTTTCATGTGGTTAAAATCAACTCTACGCGAAATTTCTTTTTCGAACGAGTATAAACCAAAAAAATTTTTTTTTTCTACTACTTTCGCATTATGCGGTGACACAATCGTTTAAAAAAATCCGACATGAATTGATAAGAAAAAGGGAAAATTCATAACACGTGGAAATCCATGCGAAAATCGTCATAACAATGATAATAATATAAACAAACAATAAAATTACGGTATTAACCGCGTCGCTTCTTCGCGTTATTTTGTTTCGAAATTTTGACCCTTATCACTTCCAAAATTATTATTATTATCATGATCATTATTATTATAAATTATTATTTAATGGTTTTTGTGTGTGCGTGTGCGTGTGCGAGTGAAAATTGATGATTTGCAAATTTTCATTAAGAATTTTTTTTCATTATTATTAGTTATTATTATCAATGTAATAAATTTTCTTTTTTTAAAAAAAAAAAAAAAAAAAAGCGCAAAAAATGGGAATTTAAAACAAAAAAATTCTTATGAAGTTGTAATAATAATAATAATAATAATAATAATAATAATAATAATAATAATAGTAATAGTAATAATAATAAATAATTAGCCGGATTTTTATTTATTATTAGTTTTACATAATTTACTTTTTTTTTCTATGTTTCACGCATAAAGTTAAAAAAAAATTACTAGGATAAAAGTAAATAATAATAATTATTATTATTATTTTATTACGTAATATTATATTAGGAAGGTATTCTCGTTAATGTATGAAAAGCTAATTTAAAAAAAAAAAATTACTTATTGATATTATTATTATTACTAGTAATATTAGTTTCCTTTTTATAAATATTAACTTAATTATTTAATGCGTTTGAAATAAGGGGATTTTGGAAAAGGGGGAAAGGGGGAGGGAGGGAAATTACATAATAAATATATTTGTTTAATAAAGAGGTAATAAAATTTAATGAAATGATTATTACAAAGTCGAATTCAATTATTATCCGAAATAAATAATAATAATAAAAAAAAATTTTTTTTTGTGTTACGCAGAGCTTCGCAGGAAGTGTTAACGATGAGCAGAAGACAGTAAGAATGGCTTCGGATTCTCTAGTCGTGAAATCATATAAAGAAGAAATTGACACGACGGCGACGACGACAGTTTCATCGACGGTTAAAGAACGTAAAATAGAAGAATATGCTGTTTATCAAGGGGTCATGGGAAGGCCGGGAATCGATTTTCCGGTTTACACACACATTCCACACACAAGTTTCAGTTGTAGAAATGTTAAAAAATCCGGTTATTACGCGGATTTAGAAACGGATTGTCAGGTACGAATTAAGACGATAAAGGTTGAGTAAGTAAACGTTTTGTTTCGCTGTTTAACAGAATAAAAATTTTGTTTTTGATTTTAGGTATTTCATATTTGCGACAGAAATCGAAAAGTTTCTTTTCTTTGTCCGAATGGAACAATATTTAGACAATCTCATTTGATTTGCGATTGGTGGTTTCGTGTCGATTGTGGTAAATCTGTTGAACTCTACGACGAATCCGCCGAACAGTTAGAAGCTGATCAAAAAGTATACAAAGCGAAAGCTGACGAGAGAGAAAGAAGAAGAAAATTGAGTAAAGCTTATGCTGCTGGTACGAGCGATCAATCGGAGGAAACTCAAAGAGCTAAATCTCAATTGTTGAATCGTGAAAATTTTTCACGTCGAGAACATAATTCACGTGGAAATGGAAGAAAATCCGAAAGACATTTCAACAGGCCTTCCGATGCTTTAATAAATTTCAATAGGAATAAACAAAATGTGCAAACAACAAACGGTAATAATTTGAGAGTGAAGACAAACAACGAAGGTGAACAAGGATCGTTAATTGGTAATTCTCCTGATGTCGCTCAAAAAATCAATCAGCAAAATCACAACAATATAGGATTGGAAAATTTTCACGAAGCTGAATCTGGAAGCCTTGTTGAAAATCTATCCAATCACAGTAGAAATCTTGCAAAAGCAGCCAGTGGTGAAAGAGTTAAAAATGAAGGTAATAACAAAAGATTTTCAAAAAAAATCAAAATAATTGCCAGAGGTAGAAATGGTAGTCTATCAGCCGTCGAAGAAAAAGTTGAAGAAGTACAAAAGACATCACATACGGATAAATCGCAAGAAAGCAATGAAAGAAATCAAAATTCTAATGTTGGTATTACTGGTGCATATTCTTCTGCTGAAAAAATAACCGCGGTGGAAACATCAAATGATGGAAAAGATTATAAAAATCAATATGACAATGGACAATCGGAAAACGCTAGAACTACGTATCCAAACGTAAACGTACAAACGGCGACAAACAACAAAATTGAAATAACAAGTCCCGGATATGATTTCACAAATAAAATTAAAAACCGGAAATTCGTACAATATAATTTTACAAATTATAAAAACGCAGGTGTCAGCAGTGAAACTGGAGGTGGAAATTTTTACAAGGCGAGTACGGTTAGATCAGTGACGAATAATTTCAAATTTAATCAAAATGCTAAACACGGTACTGACGTAAATAAGAGCACATTTTTCGGTTCGAATGAAAACGTAAAAAATTTCGCATCGAATGAAGAACAAGGGTCGACAAATTATTATCATCAACAAAATGGAAATACTGGAAACAAATTTACATACGTGGCCCCAACGACGACGGAAAAATATTCCAACGATAATTTTCAAACTTTAAATGTTGCTTACAATCAACAAAAAGAACACTCCACTGCTGCCCCGACAATTTACGGCACTACGTTACGCCCAAATGAACCCTTGAATAATTTTAATCAACAAAATGATGGAAACATAAAATTTAATTCTAACGAAAAAACGACAAATTCTAATTTTAAAAGTTCATTCTCATCGAATTCGTTTAACAACAATTATCAAAATCAACAACATTTTTGGCAAAAAATCAACAACAACAACAAACAGTTAATAGACATCAAAATGTTGATGTAACAACAAACAGTTTTAAAAATACTCCCGTTTCATCTCAACAAACGGTCAATACAAATGCAGTAAATCAAAATTTTAATCAACAACAACAAAAACTCAGTTTTTCGGAGTAACAAACAGAAGAGTAAGTACAGAATCTCCATACGGTACAACCGGTTTCTCATCTAATCAACCTGTTAAAAATTACAAACAAGAAATTTTATTAAAAGGAGAAAATACGAAAGATGTTGTTGTTAATTCTGGTTACACGGTTACTCCTGAAGTATATCAACCGCCTACGACAAACAATTATTTTTATCAAAATTCAAAATCTGATAATTATCATTATTCGAACGATAAAACATTGGAAAACAATCGACAAAAAAATGGAAATGTAGATTTTAGTGCCACTTACGATTCACAAAAAACAATAATAAATTACAACGATAAAAATTTTAAAAATACCGGAAGTACCATCTTCGGCACAACTTCTTCACCCAATCAACCATCGGTGACAACACAATATCAAACACAAACTTATCAACCGCAATTTCAACAAACGCAACAAAACAAATTAACGACTTTCGGTTCAAGCAGTGCGTTTGTTGAAACTTCATTGCCAGTTACCAACACTCACAATCAAAACGGAAATGAAAGAAATAATAATTTTTTTAGTGCCACGACCGCATCATTCCAGCCTTCGGTCTCAACTCAATATCAAACCGAAAATTTAAAATCACAAAATTTACAACAAAACAATAAACAAACGACGGATTTTTCATCGAGTGGCATTTTAAAAACGACGAATGTTTACAATCAACATCAAACCGGAAACAATAATTTTAATAATTTTAATAATCAACAAAATAACGGTTTTAGTGCCACGACTCCTTCTTCCTACGATCAATCTTTTATAACACAATATCAAACGCAAAATAATAATAATTATCAAAATGAAAAAATTCAACAAAACAGCAACGAAAAAAATAAAAATTTTGGAAATTATTTAAATGAAAATGAGAAAAATTATAAATTTAGTGCCACGACCACACCATCTTATCAACATTCTTCCGTAACAAATTACTTATCGACAGAAAGTTACAATTTACAAAATGGTCAAACTCATTTCACGACGACAAATAATCCAAATCCGACAAATTTTATTCCGAGCACACCAAGTACGCCCCACCAGCAGCTACAACAACAAACGTTTGTCGTAAATAATCAATATAATAATAATCAATTTTCGGAAATAAATACAAATGGAAAAAAACAAACTCCGCCATTTGTTGGAACACCAACGACAGATTTTTATCAACCGACAACTTACACGACCGGAAAATATGATTTGAATACTTACCAACAACAAAATAAACAAAATATATTTAACAATGCGGAAAAGCAAACAAATTTTCCAACGACACAAAATTCAAATCTACCAACTGAAAATACCCCGAAAATTTTCTCTCACGGAATTAATAATAATAATTTTGCTGTAGGCACGACGGAATTTTATAAAAATGATAACGTAAATTTACCAAATAAAATCAATAATGAAAATGTTAAATTCGAAACGGAAATATTTAAAAGTGTTGAAGTTAATTTACAAGGGGATAACGGTGACGTTATTAATAAAACCTTAGGTCACCAAGTCACGGAAAAAAATACACTAGGTTATAATAATAATAATAATAATTTTCCACCCACATCTCCGACAGTAAGCACAGTTTCCTTTAGTCAAAATGGGTTAAACAATGAAGGATACAAAGGATCGACCGTCGATTACAATTCGAAGAATTTCCAATTCACAATAATCAATCACGAAAAAGAAGGACTTAAAACGGCAGAAAGTGGTTCGGCAGCTTCAAAATATTCAAACAATGGAAATAATTATCAATCTTTGTCTTATTTCGGTTCAACTCAAAAACCGCAAGAGTTTTTTGATGAAAAAGGATATCAAGGCTCTGGGGTTAATTATAATTTAAGGGGTGGTAGCGGTCGTGGTAGTAAATCTTATTTCGAAGAAAATAAATTTCATTCACGACAGCAAAATTCCAATATTCCTTCAAATTACAAAACAACAAATGTCGTAACACCTTCTTCTTCTTCTTTTTCTTCTTCTCAAAATTATTTTACCACGACGCCGTCGTTTGACGTTTTGACTGGTTATTCAACTACACCTGTGACACCGGTCAAACAAGATGGTAATCGTGTGACGGCCTCATCACCAACGGAACACACCCATTCAAACGGTCAATCGTGGCAAACGACAACTTTTAAACCGCAATACGAAGGTACGACAACCGGACAAACGTATTTTTCAGAAAACGAAGGTTATTTTACTTTCGTTCCAAAGAACCAATTAATTTACGAAAATGAAAATTCGAATTCTGCTAAAGTTTCGACGGAAACGACAAATGTCGGAGTCGATTTGAGCTTGCAAGAGTTGAATATAAATAAAAATAATTTTCAAAAAACCGGTAAAACCGGTAATAATTACAATGAATTTTATAGAGAAGGTTTAGAAGTTCCTCCATCATCTGGACCAAACGCTATCAGATCTTTTGCTTTATATTTTGCCGATAATACGAATAATCAAGCACCGACAACTTCTTCTCCTTCCATTTACGTGACTCCGTCTGTTTACACAACCGTAAGTTTAAATTCTTTTGATAATAAGAAAAAAGAAGTTTTGAAACAAGTTAACGAACTGGTACAACAAAGTTCTATAAATGTCACCGAAGTGACCGTGGATAGTGACAAACTTCCCAATTCGCTAACCGTTCAAACTCAAGATTCTTATCTTACTCTCTTTTCGAATAACTCCGATAAGAGCACAATCGAATCGTCAACGGTGTCATCAAAATCAGAAGAAGAAAGTACCAACGGTAATTTTGATTTTAAATCAACCAATTACGGTGATTTTACTGAAGAACCAACGGTCATCAATTCGGAATTGGTAAAAAATGATTTAGACGGTTCGCAAACTCGAGGATTGGTCGAACCGGAACCCGTAGAAAACGATGGAAAAGTTGCTCCGGATCTAAGAAAATTAGCTCAAGTATTTACAAAAGCTCTTTCGGCTTATTTAGATGATCCTCAGGGTTTTAGAAAAGTACTAACGGAAGTTCGTCCGACGGAGCCCACGTTTGACTCAAACGAATCCGAATCTAACGAATATTCAACGGCTACTCGAGAGGAAGAAGAAGTTTTGGATTTTTCCGACGTGTCAAACAATTCGTATAAGAAAAAATTATCGACTCCATCGTCTCAAAGAGAGTCCAGCACGGAATTTCTTGCTCAAATATCAAGCCCGACCGTGAGCGATTTTGAAAATTTAATCGCTCCGGTAAATAAAACGAATTGGGCGACGAATATTGAACTTACTGCACCCCTGTTGGAAAGTTTGGACGCATCACAAAGCAATTATTACTCGTTACCAACGTTCACCGGTACTACCAATTCTGTTGCAGAAGAAATAAATCAGTTTATTGATCATGACCAAACTTCATTTACCGGATCTATCGAAGATGATAGTTACTTTCCATCTACTACTACTACTACGGATATATCTTCTCCTCCCAAATACGGTGGATTTCAAAACAATACCGAAAGAACTAAAAAATATTCGCCATATGGATCTGATTTAAAAACTTTTTCACCTTATTCGCCGATTGCAGATAATCAGGTGTCGCCGACTACCCCGAAAGTAGTAAATCTCAAAGAAGGTACGATTCATGACTCCAGCAAAGAAAATTTCACGTCTTTTTTCAGTCACTTCACAAAAAACGAAACTAAAGACGGAGAAATACAATTGGCTAAAGAACTAAACAATTTAGTTTTGCTTCAAAAATTTACCACTCCGAGAGGATCCGGTACCCAGTCAACTTCTACGGCACCTAGATTATCCACATCTCATTTATCTACCCACAATGGTATCGGTAATCGATATGAAGATGTCGTTTTGGGAAACGGTGAAACGATAGAAAGAAATGTTGGAATAAGAATTGGAAAAGAACTTCAAAATTCAGAAACCGGAAATAGCGTAAATATTTTAAAATCTAGCGTAAGTGCTGTAAACGTTGATATTGTGTCATCTCCTAGCACCACGCCAAAAAGCAATGAATATGCAAATACGAGAAACCATATAACATCCGTTAAACCTTCCGGAATTTCCGGTATCACTACCGGTGTGGTTTTGCCAAGTACTCCAAAAGGTTTTCAATACCCGGAAACCATAAGCGATGTACATATTTTAAAATCTAGCTTAAGCAACTTGAACGGAGATGTTTTACCACAATCAAGCACTCCCAAAGGATTTCTCATAACGTATTCATTGAACGAACCACAACCAACAACACAAAACCCCACCATAGTTAATCTCGTAGCTCAGTCAACATCCCTTCCACCGTCCATCAGTAGTTCGTACAACGTAAACTCATTATCGGTATCCGAATCTCATAAAACTCTTAACGACGATCTATCTTCATCCGCGTGGGAAGACAGTTTATACGATAGTTACCAAACAGCACCCGAACCGGATAATTCAGCAACAGAATCTGCCGAAAGAGCTGTAAAATCATTACAAAGAATAACAAAATTACAAGAAACATTAATGTTCAACACGGATAACACAACATTACATCAAAAAGATATGGCTAGAGAAACCGTCGAAACGATGATGGACAATTTAAACTTAACGGCATCCACAACTCACGCACTCATGCACGTCATGGAAGAAGCAGCTAAAAATGAAACCTACAGGAGATTGGTGTTACTTTTAGTTAACGACAAATCCGGAAGAAATAAAACAGCGGAAGAAGCGAGAGTATCTTTGCTCAAAGCACTACTAACACCCGTGATAGTATCTCATAATCAACCAAATCCTTCACTTCCTATTCAAGACACGTCAAAACTTGCAGCGTCCGCAAATGATGACAAAACGATCGACACAAACGTAAGAAGAAGTAAATCCATTCCAAACAGACAAACAAGCGGTCCTTTAATACAAACGACAACTTCACGTTCCTCATCGATAAATAAAAATGCGGAAATACAAGAAAAACAACCACCGAAGACGACGACGACGACGACAACAACAACTTCAACAATTTTACCACCTTCAAAAATTTATAAAAAATCAAAACCGGATATAGGTAATATAGGAGCGTTGAGGAGAGCAATTGATAATTCCAAAACGAAACAAGTCAAAATTAATTCAATAGACGATGCCATTATTAATTCCGATAGCAGAGCCGTAGAACTTTTACGATCATTGTATTCTTTAGCAGCAAGATGGGGTTGAAAAATTTTTTCGACGATAATACAAAAAAAATGAATTCTTATTCTCCCCTTCTCCCCACACTACTTCCTCCCCTCCTTCCTCTTACGTTTTATTAAACCTTATAAAATTATTTTGCGCCAATGAATGTGCCTGAATTTTATGTATTATTTAAGTAATTTAAAATCATTTAGTCATTGGTGAAATTTATTGGAATCCCTATAATTGTGAAAAAAAAAAAATTTTTCAAATTTTCTCACATTATTATTATTATTATTATTATTAATTTAATGACGTCGAAAATATTTTTTTTTTTTTAAGAAAATTTTTTTTCTGGTTCGGAAAACTTTTTTCTTTTTTTTTTGTTCGTTTCGGTGGAAAAGTTTTTTGAATCACAATAAAAAATTTTCTTTTCCTTATACTTTAAACTTATTATTATTATTATTATTATTTTCATTCGCGACGTTATTATTATTTTTATTACGTAATTAATTACTACTCATTTAATTAATTATAAAAAAAAAAAGTTACCGAGTAATTAAAAAAAAAAAAAAAATGAAAATTTTATTTTTCTACATCGCAAAAAAAAAAAATAAACGCGAAGATTTTTATTTTTTTGTGTAATAAACGAATCAGTGCCAAAACTACAATTTTTTTTCCATTTACAATTAATTACAAAAAATTGTAGTTTTTAAATAAATTTTGTCTTCTGCTTTTAACGGAAATGGCTACAACAACAACAACTACAACAACTACTACTTATGCATTTGGCCTTGGGAACAGTTGCAATTTTTTTTTTTTTCTCTTTACCATTTTTGTATAAATATATATATATATTTTAGTAATATTAATAATAATATTATTATTATTGTACGTTGTTGTTTTATATAAGTATAATATATATTAAATATAAAATATATATATTTTTATTATTATTTTTTTTTTTCCTTGAAATTGTTTCCTTTAGTTAAAAATTAAATTTCCAAAAAAAAAAAAATGTCACGTGTCTCGTTTTGAATTTTCTTTTTTTTTTAAATCCACGCGTTAAATTCCATTAAATTAACTTATTATTATTATTATTATTATTATTATTATCGGTTAAATACTTATAAAATTACTTTTTTTTTTTTTTTTAATATGATTAAATAATAATCTGGTTTTTAATTTTTTTTATTTTATTGAACTTCCGAGATGATGAATTTTTTTCTAAACAGCTTTTTACGTATTTAAACATGGTAATAAATTACTTAATTTTTCTTTTTTTTTTTAAAAAAAATCCTCGTTGCGTAATATTAATATAAAAAAAAAAATCTTTTAACAATTTTTACGCGATATATTTTCAAAAATTATAAGTATATATATATATAATATAAACGTCATTAAAATTTAAAAATCTACGAGATAATGATATTCATTATATTATTATTAAAAAAAAGTTATTATCACTCGTCATTAAACACACAATTCTTCTTATGATAATGATAATACTTAAACGTTTTACACAAAAAATAAAATAAACGAGTTTAACGAACGATAACCTCATTTTGATTATCCTTTTCTGTGTCATCACATCCCATGTTTTCCCTCCCTAACGTTTCTATCAATCGGAATTTTACGCGGGAATTTTTTTGAACAAAAGAAAAAATTATTATTATTATTATTGTTATAAATAAATAAATATTATTATAAATATTATTATAAATAAAAAAATAAATTAAGAAAAAATTATTAAGAAAAAAAAAAATATATATGTATATATATATGTATATATTTATCCCCGTTATCTCATTATTCACCTTATCACATAAATAAATATTTATTTATTTATTTTTTTATTTACATAAGTTACGAGAGAAATCTATCGGTGTTTGTTTAAAACTTTAGTACTAATCAAATTTAATAGATCGCGTTACTTGCTTTTTTGTTTTTGTTTTGTTTTTTAAACCGTTACAAAAATTTCAAAAAAAAAATTATTTTTTTATTTATATATAAAAAAATTATTCGATGATAAAAACACTCTGGAAAATTATGCAGACGACATAATAATTATTTTAATGTATTTTATTCAGTTTTAGTAAAAAAAAAAAAAAAAAAATATAATGTATCCCATCAGAATAAAAAAATTTTTTTTTCTTTATTATTCAGCAAGAAAATATATAAAAAAACTGTCGTGTCAATAGTTTAAAAAAAAAAAAATCACTGGAGAAAAAAATAAAAAGTAATTAAAATAAAAACGTTGATTCATCATTTGAATAATTTATTATTATTATTATTATTCATTATTATTTAATAAAATTAAATCTTTTGTAAAAAAAAAAAAAAAGGAAAAAAATTTATGAAAAGTTGTTAAAATGTGAGAGAGAGAGAAAGAGAGAGAGAGATCTTTTGTAGCATTTTATTAATAATAATAATAATAATTTAATTACTTAAAAATAAATTTTAAAAAAAACGTTAATTCCACGTCATTTCAAAATGCAAAAAAAAAGAAAATTTTAACAACGATTTTTTCTTTTTTTTTTCACAAAAAAAAAATTATTTAAATAAAATGTCAAAGGTTACACTCGCGTTGTTACCACCCTATTGATCAAAGAAAAACACGAATAGAAAATTTTGTAATAGAAATTTTAAATTGTTCACGTTATTATTATTATTATTATTATTATTATTATTATTATTATTATTATTATTACACACTCTCACAACTAATTAATAATTAATAATAACTTAAAATAAAATCAATTTATTATAATTTTTACAAGGATTATATAATTCTTTTGTTTTTGTTTTGCTATCGGTTGATTACATAGTTATTATTATTATTATTTATAGTAGAAAAGAAAAAAAAATAGTTTTTTCTCTATTTAATATTGTTAATTACGAAATATCAAAAGATGCAACACAACCATCATCGAAATCCGTTAAAACAAAACAAATACGAGTAATGATAACCGTCGGTCGTTATCATCGCCACATCAATAGAAATAATTTTTAGTTACTCATATTATTATGAAACAATCGATAACCACCAATTAATTATTTTACCTTGACGAAAAATTCTTTTTTTTTTTTTTTTACTCAACAACCGAAATTTTCCAACAACCTCAAACAATGTCGCGTCATCACGTGGAATAAGAAAACAAAACAAAACAAAATTAATAATTAAATAATTGTAAGGTAATATATATGCGTGTAATTAAAATAAAACAATATTTTTTATGGGGGCTCGTATAAGACCTCCCCCCTTTTTCCCTCCTCCTTTAGACGTGACGTACACGATTTCTGACGTAATTTAAAAAAATAAATAAATATTCATTAATAATTTAAAAAGTTTTTTCATTTATTGCGATCGGTTAAATTTTTTTGTAAACTTTTAAAAGGATCACGATTTTTAAATTTTTACAATTTAATAATAAAAAATATAAAATAAATTTTATAAATTATTCAAAATAAAAAAAAACAACAACAGAAAAATTCATTCATGAATTTTGATTGAATAATAATGTTTTGTAATTTTATTTAAAATAATAATAATAATAACAAGAAGAAGAAAAAACTTATAAAGATGATGTAATTTATTTTTAAAATACTCTAGCAAATTATTTTTATTGTAAAAAAAAAAAAAAAGAGAAAAGCCGAAAAAAAAATATTATTATTATTATTATTGCGTAATTTTAAATGCGTGAATAGGCCAACGAAAAAAAAAGAAAAGAAAATTTCATTCAATTAATTGTTTCTAAACAAATCTTTTCGATAAAAAATTGGAAAAAAAAAATGTAGAATGAGTACATTTAAAAAAAAAAAAAAACTTTTTTATAAGGTGTACAAATACAAAAGGTAATTAAGGATGAGATAAATTGAAAGAACGATAAAGTTAAAATTAGTCTAATCGATTATGAAGGGCGTTAATTACAAAAAAAAAAAAAATCAAACAAATACGATGAGAAAATCAAACAAACAAACAGACGGAAAGAAAAGGACAAGAGAGAGGGAAGGGGGAGTAGGAAGGAGGTGAGGAAAAAAAGAATCGATCGAGAAAACGAATCTATTATAATCACGAGAAATGACGTAACGAAAATTCCACAAAGCAAGGCGACAAAGTCATATTAGAACCGGAAATAAATAAAAAATTCTTAAATTGAAAATTCGTTCACAGTCAATAATCGCTTAAATCGAGCATGGATCCATAGATCCATACATCCATAGGCAGATGGATGGCACGGGGGTCGACCTTCACCGACGACTCGGGAGGTTACAATTGCAGAATAGTTAGAATACGTGGATTTAGATTTCGCTTTCGTTATGCATTTATTAATTAATTGCAGTTAATTGCAGAAGATATTGAATAATAATCTAACAGATTTCAAGTATACTCCAAGGGGTAATTTCTAGAAAATCGGTGGGAAAAAGTGGGAGGAAAGTGATGATGAATGAAAAATGATTGAATGCATATCGATGCAGGCTCTTATCGTTTCTCCCATTGAAAAACGTAACCCCTCTCATCGCCAACATTTTGAGAGAAATCATTATTTATACCGAGATGGATTCGTTTTGATTTCAGAGTTTACCAATATCATCGAGAGTCAACAGCAAAAAGGTTTTAACAAGAAGAACGCACTAAACGCACACCGAACAAAATGAAGTTAACGATTTTTATTTTGGGTACGTCGTTTTAAAAATATCGTAACGGAAAATTTTCAAGAAAATCATCATGGATCGTTGTTAGAAAAAAAATAATAATAAATAATTTTTTCATTAATATTTTTCAGGTTTGTTCGTAGTGACGCAAACGATTTTGGTAAGTAGTAATATCTACGTCACGATATTTTTTTTTTATATTTTTGGCGAACCGGAATCAACAAAGACCGACTAAAAATTTTAAAAAAAAATTAGTATACTCGAAAAGATAGTGATAAGAAAAATAATCACAACATATAAAAGTTTACTATCGTTATTATTATTTTTATGGATAGGCTGAAGAAGGATACAATTATAATAGGCCACAGAGTCCGTTTCAAAGTGGAACAACTGCTTCGGGACCTTTTTCACCGACTCCATCTGGACCCACCGGACGACCGGACACTGGTTACACTTCAGGAAGACCAAGCGCCGGACCGTCATTCGGACCTTCGCCACCCTTTTCCCGCCCCGATTTCGGATCACAGACCGGTAGCACACCGGCCGGAAATGGTTTTTCCGGTAGACCGAGTGGATCTTCATCTCCTGGAAACGGATATCCGAGTGCAGGACAAGGCGGTCAGGGAGGATATCCGGGAAGTTCGAGTTCGTCGTTCGGACCTGGTTATCAAGGTGGATCCGGAGGAGGTGGTAGACCCGGCTCACAAGGTAGCTCTCCGGGAACAAGTGGTTACCCCAGCGGCGGACCTACGTTTTCGAGCGGTGTAGGAGGAGGTAGCGGACCGGGATATCAAGGCGGAGCCGGAGGTGGTAGCGGACCAGGATATCAAGGCGGAGCCGGAGGAGGTAGCGGACCAGGATACCAAGGCGGAGCCGGAGGTGGTGGTCGTCCAGGTTCACAAAGAGGCAGCGGTGGTAATTCTGGATATCAAGGAGGTAGTGGTCCGGGTTTTCAAGGAGGTGCCGGAGGTGGAAACGGACCTAGTTCACAGGGAGGCAGCGGAGGTTCTGGATTTCAAGGAGGCAGCGGTCCTGGATTCCAAGGAGGCGTAACGGGTCCCGATTTACAAGTTCCCGGTACTGGAGGATCCGGATTTGGATCAGATTTTCAAGGTGGTCAACCTGATGAAGGCGATTACTCCGCCATTCCCGGAGTACCCGGACAAGATTATCCAGTTTATTCTGAAATACCCGAAACGTCGTTCAGATGCGAACAACAACAATATCCCGGATATTATGCCGACGTCGAAGCACAATGTCAAGTCTTCCACGTTTGCGCCAACAACAAAACTTACGACTTTTTATGTCCCAACGGCACCATCTTTCATCAACAATTTCTCGTTTGCGTTTGGTGGAATCAATTCGATTGCAGCACCGCTCCGGAGTTTTATTCCATCAACGAAAATATTTACGATTACAGCATAAAAGGTAGCGAACAACAACAGGGAGGTGGAGATTTCGGTACGGGTTTCGGTGATCAATCGTTAGTAAGACCCGGTTCATCGTTCGGAGGAGCTCAAGGACCGTTCGGACCTTCCGGTTCATTTGGTGGATCTCAAGGACCGTCCGGACCTTCCGGAACATTTGGTGGATCTCAAGGACCTTCCGGACCGTCTGAATCATTCGGTGGAAATCAAGGACCATCTGGACCATCTGGATCATTCGGTGGATCACAAGGAACTTCTGGTCCTAGCGTGTCCTTCGTCGGACAACAAGGATCGAGAGTACCAGTCACGGGAGGTTCACCCGGACCCAGCAGCACTTTTGGTCCTACCACGCCGACTGCCGGTTATCCATCCGCCAGTCCCACCCAAAGGCCGGGTGGTTATTCTCCTTCTGGAACTTCCGGAGGATACACTCCTTCCGGACCAAGTTCGACATCCGCTTTCGGTAACTCTCAACGACCCGTTTCTGCCACCACCACCGGACCATCGTTTGGACCATCCTCTACGTTCGGACCACCTTCCAGCAGGCCAAACAATCAAGGTTCGTTCAGACCAGTATCTCCGACCGGTCAACCTGATCGACAATACCTTCCTCCGTATTAGATGAGTCGACCGACTAAAGCGGGTGTTAGGGTTTTCGGTCTACTCTCACACGTTAATTTATACGTTCCTAATCATTCATTGGCGGCTTCGAAGGGAACAAAAAAAAAAGAAAACGTTTGTCTTTTACGAGTTCATCAAACGATCATTTTATCATTATTTCACACACGTTTTAGGCACTTGTTAATTTAATCGTTTATCGTCGTCGTCATTTTTTCCTTTTATCGACAGTTACCTGTGCTTCGCAAGTTACCATTGAATGATTTACATTAAATAACATCGCAAGTCATGTCATCATAAATTATTCTACTTTTATATATATATATGTATTTTACTTTTTTATTATTTTTATTATTTAAATATTATTTTATATTATTTATATTATTTTTGTATGGGTTTTTTTGAAATATAATCGATTAAATGTGGGAAAACTTTAAATTATTATCATTATTATTTTTATTTCTACTCTTATCCTCCTCAATTCTATTTCTCGATTTTCATCATCTGCGTTCATCTTTTGGATTTTTTTTTTCTTTCTCTTTTTAAAATTTTTTAACAAGTTTGAAATTAAATATTTAAATAAAAACCAAATTGTGCTTAATCTTTTGTTTTTTATTTACTTTATTATTATTGCAATTGGAATGAAAAGGGTTTATTTTTTTATTTATGCATCTCAGAAAAATTGATGGTTACCTTAAGACTTTAAACTTTAAATGGACAAATTAATGGAACATTAAAAAACTTGTAAATGAAAATTGATAATTTGGTTTTTAAGGTACGAAACACCCTTTTTATTTTATTTTTTTGCTAATATTTTTCGTGATGAATCGAATTTAAAAAAAAAAAAATTAACCAACAATTTACAATAATAAATTTTGTAAATTTTATTTACTACAAATACCAAATTTAATTTTGATCCTAAAAAAAAATAAATTATTACTTATTTTGAAAAAGTATTTTATTTTACATTGAAGTAACCAAGATTTTGCATTTTAAACTAAAAGTTATAACTTAATTCGTGAATATTACTAGGTGAGGACACTTTCACTCAACTAAATTTAAGACAAATACTAAAAGATGGACGAACATCATCACAACACAAACAGATCACACGAAAGCTTCTTCCCAAGCCTTCATTTCCTTTTATATGCCACACTCGTCGTAACTTTTATTTTAACAAATAATTGCTTTGTAAACAAAAACATAAAAGAAAGAGTTTTCTAAAGTGGACAACTTTGGTAGTATCCGTGGTTGCTATTATTAACGTTTATAAACATTGAAAAATAAATAAATTAAATATGGGATCATAAAAATATTTTATTTTAACATAATTACTGTACCAATTTTAAAAATTATAAATCATAAATATTTTTATGTAAACTAATAATTGTTCTAAACTTTTTTTTTTTTTAAATCCATTTGTCGACTCTAAAAATCGCCAAATATAATTAAAAAATATTATAAATAAATAAATGAATGACACCTTATAAATTAAATCGAAAAAACGGTGAATTTCACATATAAATTTCATTCTGACTTTCATCAAATCTAGAATTTATTGGTTAACTAAAAACCTCAGACGAAATACTATTTAAGAAAACATTCGTTATATTGATTTTGAAATTATTTAAAACTTTTAAATTAAAATATTTTTAAGTTTGAAATTATTTTATTTTATTTAAAACTAACATGAATTAGTAAAAGAAAATATATAAGAATTTAGTAGAAATTAGGTACACTTGTAGAACAGTAAGCAAAGTCTAAATATATAAGATATTTTGGTTAAGAATTTTAAAAAGAAGACTAATTTAACTATTTAGGACTTGATAACTAATTATCAATATTAGTGCTAAACGTGAGGGTCACTTTCAAATTTATAAAATACCCAAAAAATGAACGCAGTCGATGAAAATTGGGAAACAGAATGAGAAGGATAAGAGGAGTAAAAAAATGATAATGATGAATAGAATTATTTTAAATTTTCCCACATTCAATCAGTTATATTACAAAAAGACCCATACAAAAATCAATAAAAATAATATTAAAAAATAATAATAATAATCATAGTAAAATACATATATATAAAATAGAATAATTTATGATGACATGGCTTGCGATGTTATTTAATGTAAATCATTCAATGGTAACTTGCGAAGCGTAGGTAACTGAAGAAAAAAGGAAAAAATGATGACGACGGTAAACGACTAAATTAACAAGCGACTAACTCGTGTGTGAAATAATGATAAAAAGGTCGTTAGATGAACTTAAGAAAAGAATCATTCTTTTTTTTATTGTTCCCTTCGAAGCCGCCAATGAATGATTAGGAACGTATAAATTAACGTGTGAGAGTAGACCGAAAACCCTAACACCCGCTTTAGTCGGTCGACTCATCTAATACGGAGGAAGGTATTGTCGATCAGGTTGACCCGTCGGGGATGCTGGTCTGAACGAACCTTGATTGTTTGGCCTACTGGAAGGTGGTCCGAACGTAGAGGATGGTCCAAACGATGGTCCGGCGGTGGTGGCAGAAACGGGTCGTTGAGAGTTACCGAAAGCGGATGTCGAACTTGGTCCGGAAGGAGTGTATCCTCCGGAAGTTGCAGACGGAGAATAACCACCCGGCCTTTGGGTGGGACTGGCGGATGGATAACCGGCAGTCGGCGTGGTAGGTCCAAAAGTGCTGCTGGGTCCGGGTGAACCTCCCGTGACTGGTACTCTCGATCCTTGTTGTCCGACGAAAGATACGCTAGGGCCAGAGGATCCTTGAGGTGCACCGTAAGATCCGGACGGTGTAGACGGTCCGGATGGTCCTTGATTTCCGCCACCGAAAGATGGACCGGATGGCCCTTGAGATCCGCCGAACGATCCAGACGGTCCAGATGGTGGCCCGTAAGAACCCGACGGTGGAGACGGTCCTTGATTTCCGGGTCCACCGAAAGATCCGGAAGATGGTGAGGACGGTCTTTGAGATCCTCCAAAAGAACCGGTTGATCCAGATGGTCCTTGAGGTGCACCGTAAGAACCGGAAGGTCCGGATGGTCCTTGAGATCCACCGAATGATCCAGACGGTCCGGAAGGTCCTTGATTTCCGCCACCGAAAGATACACTAGAAGAGGGCCCTTGAGATCCGCCGAAAGATCCAGATGGACCCGATGGTCCTTGATTTCCGCCACCGAAAGATGGACCGGATGGACCTTGAGACCCGTCGAATGATCCAGACGGTCCAGATGGACCTTGAGATCCACCGAATGATCCAGATGGTCCAGATGGACCTTGAGATCCACCGAATGATCCAGACGGTCCGGATGGTCCTTGATTTCCGCCACCGAAAGATGGACCGGATGGCCCTTGAGATCCACCAAATGATCCAGACGGTCCGGACGGTCCTTGAGATCCACCGAATGATCCGGAAGGTCCGAACGGTCCTTGAGCTCCTCCGAACGATGAACCGGGTCTCACTAACGATTGACCACCGAAATCTCCACCTCCCTGTTGTTGTTCGCTACCTTTTATGCTGTAATCGTAAATGTTTTCGTTGATGGAATAAAACTCCGGAGCGGTGCTGCAATCGAATTGATTCCACCAAACGCAAACGAGAAATTGTTGATGAAAGATGGTGCCGTTGGGACATAAAAAGTCGTAAGTTTTGTTGTTGGCGCAAACGTGGAAGACTTGACATTGTGCTTCGACGTCGGCATAATATCCGGGATACTGTTGTTGTTCGCATCTGAACGACGTTTCGGGTATTTCAGAATAAACTGGATAATCTTGTCCGGGTACTCCGGGAATGGCGGAGTAATCGCCTTCATCAGGTTGACCGCCTTGAAAATCTGATCCAAATCCGGATCCTCCAGTACCGGGAACTTGTAAATCGGGACCCGTTACGCCTCCTTGGAATCCAGGACCGCTGCCTCCTTGGAAGCCAGGACCGCTGCCTCCTTGGAAGCCAGGACCTCCGCTGCCTCCTTGAAATCCAGGACCTCCGCTGCCTCCCTGTGAACTAGGTCCGTTTCCACCTCCGGCACCCCCTTGAAAACTTGGACCACTACCTCCTTGATATCCAGAATTACCACCGCTGCCTCCTTGTGAACCTGGACGACCACCACCTCCGGCTCCGCCTTGAAATCCTGGTCCGCTACCTCCCCCGGCTCCACCTTGGTATCCTGGTCCGCTACCTCCCCCGGCTCCACCTTGGTATCCTGGTCCGCTACCTCCCCCGGCTCCACCTTGGTATCCTGGTCCGCTACCTCCTCCAGCTCCGCCTTGATATCCTGGTCCGCTACCTCCTCCAGCTCCGCCTTGGTATCCTGGTCCGCTGCCTCCCCCGGCTCCACCTTGATATCCTGGTCCGCTACCTCCCCCGGCTCCACCTTGATATCCTGGTCCGCTACCTCCCCCAGCTCCACCTTGATATCCCGGTCCGCTACTTCCTCCTACACCGCTCGAAAACGTAGGTCCGCCACTGGGGTAACCACCATTACTTGTTCCCGGTGAGCTACCTTGTGAGCCTGGTCTACCGCCTCCTCCGGATCCACCTTGATAACCAGGTCCGAACGACGAACTCGAACTTCCCGGGTATCCTCCCTGACCCCCTTGTCCTGCACTCGGATATCCGCTTCCAGGAGATGAAGATCCACTCGGTCTACCGGAAAAACCGTTTCCGGCTGGAGTGCTACCACTCTGAGATCCGAAATCGGGACGGGAAGAAGGTGGCGAAGGTCCGAATGATGGTCCTGCGCTTGGTCTTCCCGAAGTGTAACCAGTGTCCGGTCGTCCGGTGGGTCCAGATGGAGTCGGTGAAAAGGGTCCCGAAGCAGTTGTTCCACTTTGAAACGGACTCTGTGGCCTATTATAATTGTATCCTTCTTCAGCCTATCCATAAAAATAATAATAATGCTAGTAAACATTTATATGTTGTGATTATTTTTCTTATCACTATCTTTTCGAGTATACTAATTTTTTTTTAAAATTTTTAGTCGGTCTTTGTTGATTCCGGTTCGCCAAAAATATAAAAAAAAAATATCGTGACGTAGATATTACTACTTACCAAAATCGTTTGCGTCACTACGAACAAACCTGAAAAATATTAATGAAAAAATTATTTATTTTTTTTTTTTCTACACGATCCATGATGATTTTCTTGAAATTTCCGTTACGATATTTTAAAACGACGTACCCAAAATAAAATCGTAACTCATTTGTCGTGTGCGTTTAGTGCGTCTCTGTTAAAACTTTTTGCTGTTGACTCTCGATGATATGGTAAACTCTGAAATCAAAACGAATCCATCTCGGTATAAATAATGATTTCTCTCAAAATGGTGGTGTGAGAGAGGGGTTACGTTTTCAATGGGAGAAACGATGAGAGCCTGCATCGATACTCATTCAATCATCTTTCATTCATCATCACTTTCCTCCCACTTTTTCCCACCGATTTTCTAGAAATTACCCCTTGGAGTATACTTGAAATCTGTTAGATTATTATTCAATATCTTCTGCAATTAACTGCAATTAATTAATAAATGCATAACGAAAGCGAAATCTAAATCCACGTATTCTAACTATTCTGCAATTGTAACCTCCCGAGTCGTCGGTGAAGGTCGACCCGCGTGCCATCCATCTGCCTATGGATGTATGGATCTATGAATCCATGCTTGATTTAACCGTTTTTCAAATGTGAACGAATTTTCGATTAATGAATTTACTTTTATTTCCGGTTGTAATATGACTTTGTCGCCTTGCTTTGTGGAATTTTCGTTACGTCATTTCTCGTGATTATAATAGATTCGTTTTCTCGATCGATTCTTTTTTTCCTCACCTCCTTCCTACTCCCCCTTCCCTCTCTCTTGTCCTTTTCTTTCCGTCTGTTTGTTTGTTTGATTTTCTCATCGTATTTGTTTGATTTTTTTTTTTTTTTTTGTAATTAACGCCCTTCATAATCGATTAGACTAATTTTAACTTCATCGTTCTTTCAATTTATCTCTTCATTAATTGACTTTGTATTACACCCAATCGTATTTGTAGTATCGATTCGTCTTTATGTAGTTTTAAATTTGTATTTTCGTACCTAAAATTTTTTTTTTCTTTTTTCGATTGTTCTGTTTGTTTTTAATTAATTAAAACAATTTAATATTATTTAAATAAATATTTTGTTTCGAGTATCATCGTGTTGTCTGGTTATGTTACAATTTTAGAATATTTAAAATTTATTGTTTATAACAATTCACAATTGATTATTTAACATTTTTTTTTTTTTTTCATGTGAATTAATCTTTTTTTGTTTTTTTACTGAAATTATTTTTTAGCCTTAGAACAATTATAAAACAAAATTACGCAACGAACGATGTTAATAAATGGAAAACAAACAAACAAACAAACATAACCGCTTTTTTTTTTTTTTGTATAATAAATAATTTTTTTTATATCTGATTCTGTGAGAAAGTATTTTTCGTACTCTTTTTTTTTTCTTTCTTCGGAATTTTTTTTAAGGAATTTTTTTTTTTTTTACATAAAATAATAAATATAATAAAGTTATGCAATCGAAAATTTGTTTTTTTTTGGTATGTTTTCCGAATGAAACATATACAATATAACTTAATTTTATGATTATGTTAAAAAAGCGAAAATTTGCAAAAAGAAAAATAAAATTAATTAAGAGTAAAAATCAAGAGTGCACCTAAAGTTTAAAAAAAAATTTTTTTTTTTAAATAAACTTCCTGAATGTTGTACCTTATCTCTTATCAAAAAAAAATTTTTTGTTAAAAAAAAAAAAAAAAACTCATCAATACAATTAATAAATTTTTTTAAATCATGTTAGAAAAAAATAACAACAACAACAAAAATTTTTTATTGTTTTTAATAAAACTGGAAATAAAAATTTCTCAATTGTTTACGTTTTCGTTATCAATACTTTTTTTTTTTTTCGTGTTCGATCAATTGTTTAAACAATATAACGTAATTTTTAATTGACGCCATTTTTTTTTTAACTGAAAATTATAAAAATAATAATAAAAAAAAAATTTGATGAGCGCATTTCTTTACCTCTTATCAAATCGTGATTAAAACTCTCCCCTTTCAATCAATCAAAATTTAATAATTGATTTACGTAATTTTTCTTTTTTTCTTTACAAATAAATAATAATAATAATAATAATAAAATAAAAATAAAATTTTCAAAGTTTTCCCTCTCCATTTCCGGTTTTTAAAACCGATTAAATAAAATCCTTTTTAAAAAAAAAAAAAAAAAAAATTTAAATGAGGCTATAAAATTTTTTGCTTATTCGACAAAACGTTAAATTTTTCTTTTCAACCCTTAAAAGGAAAAAAAAAAAAGGTTTAATCCTGTCGCCGCCATACAAAAAAACCCCAAATAATAATAATAATGATGATGATAATAATAACAATCAGAGCTTGTATAAATGTTAAATAACCCTTAACTAATCCACTTATCAATATCAATTGATTTTTCAAGTAATAATAATAATAATCTTAATCCTTAGTTAATCCTTACCTTAATTCACTTACAACACTCACTAATTATTTTTATTTTTTTACAGCAATAACGATTTTTTTTATTATAATAATAATAATAATTTTTTTTTTATATATAAAAACAAAAACTATTCGTTATTTAAAAATAAATAATAATAATAATAAACCGAAACAATTTATTAGTATTATTATTGTTTTTTTCGTTTTTTTTTTTTTTTTTTTACTGTTCGTAACGAAGATGAATTTTTAACTGATTCAAAAAAAAGGTCAGCCCGGTATTTATATCTCTTGTTTTAGGTTGGTGGTAGTGCTAGTAGTGGTGGTGGTGGTGGTGATGGTGATGGTGATGGTACTCTAAGACCGCAAAAACTAAATATTACCAATAATATAATAATAATAGTAATAGTAGTAGTAGTAGTAGTGGTGGTAGTGGTAGTAGTGATGAGACGACTGGCTTTTGACGATGAACGTAATAATAATAATAATAATGATGATGATGATGATAAAGGTAATGAGTTAAATAATACTACTACCCGCGGAGTGGGAGGTTTTTTTTCTAATCTCATCCTATTTTACTTACTTTTTTTTTTTACGTTTATTTTGTGATGAGAAAATTATTTTTGCCTAGTAGTAGTAGTATAACCGAGAGTTTTATCCGCTATTATTGTTTACTATTATTATTATTATTATTAAAATCAGCATCGTTTTTTAGAAAAGTTTTTTATTTAACATACTTTTTTTTTTTTTTAATTTCATTTTAAGTGTTATAATTCGAAACTTATAGTTTTTATAATCTTATAGATTAAAGCGTAGGATTTTAATATAATTTAACATACATAGATAAACGTAATTTATTATATAATAATAATGTAATAAAATTATTTTAATTTTTTTTTTTTAAGTTTTAAATTTTAAAAATAACGCGAATAAAAAATCAATGAAATTTTTTTTTTTTTTTTTTTACATTCGGAAATTTTATGAGAAAATAACGATAATAATAATAATAATAATATATGAAAAAATAAATAATTAATTAAATTAATAAAAATTATTACTAAATATTTTTTATTTTTTTATGACAGAATAAAAAATTTACAAAAAAAAAAAAAAAAAAGAAACACAAAGTAATTTTTCTTGTGAAATATTTAAACATTCAAACTTTAAACAATTATGTACATAATTTTTCTTTTTTTCCACAAAAAAAAAAAAAAATTTATGTAACTTATTAACGTAATAATTTTTGTTCAACAATGAAAAAAAAATTAATTTTTTCTAATAAAATTTTACGTTATTGTTTTGTTTTTTTATTGTTTAATTAATATTTTTGAATTTTGTTTTAATAAAAAAATGGAACGTGTTAATTATAAATTATTATTATTATTATTATTAATATTTCATTTCTCAAATGTAAAAATAAATAAATAAAATTCTTTCTTTTTTTTTTTTTTTGACAAAAAATCCAAGTTCTAACGGTAAATTATTTTCAAGTTCTTCCATCTCTCTCTCTCTCAAAGATTTGCCCCATTATTATCATTATTATTGTGAATAATTGTAGTGGAGAGGGGAAAAGAGAATTTTAAGAAGAAAGCATTTCATTCGTATGTAAACAAAATAAAAACGTTCACCTAACGAAAAAGTGAGAAGAAGGAAAAAAAAAAAAAAGTATGACCTTTAACCGAATATGCACATCAGCCTCGTGATCATTGATCTAAAATACATCATCTTCTTGACGATGATGATGATAATGATAATAATAATGACGATGACGATGATGATGATGATGATGCTCTCCCTTCAAAGTGTCTATACAGGTATGTCAATTGTTACGTAACAATTTAGTGCCTGTGTAAACACAACTTGATTAATGAATTCGTTTCTTTTTTTTTTTTTCTTAACGTATTCAGTACTATTATTATTATTATTATTTAAAATCGTTCTTCCAGATTTCGTCCCTTTGACCCTCCAGGAGAATTAATTTTTTTTTTTGTTTTTTCATTCAAAATTCCTAATCGAATTTATTTTTATTAAAATTAATAAATAAAACTTATGTACGTTAATTAAAAACTTTTTTTCACATTAATTACGCGTGGGGGAAAACAAAAAAAAAAATTATTATTCCAGTGAAATTTTTTAATAAGCAAATAAATAATTTTTTTATTTTTTTTCATTTTGTAATTTTTTTTATGCAGTAAAAATAAAAAAATTATATAAAAGGAAAAGAAAAAAAAATGGCGGATTATGTAAAAAATAATAATAATAATAATAATAATAATAATAATTTTTTTTTTTTCGGTTATTCGTGGACTTTAAGTTACTCGCCGTTCGTGATTCACGGTGGCTTTAAACAAGAAAAAAAAAAAAAATTATTTTATTGTTTTATACCTCGAGAACTCGTTTATGTACTTTTTTTGTTTGTTAATAAATTATTAATTAACCCTTGCAAAAACATAATAATAATAATAATAATAATAATAATAATAATAATAATAATAATAATAAGGGATTGAAAAAAAATATATATATAAATTATCATTAACAATTTATTTTTTTTTTTCTTAAAATACGAGCGGTTAAATTACCCAAAATATATATTTCGCAAATTATTATTATTATTATTAATTAATAATAATAATAACGATGAG